AAATTAGGGACGGCTAGCGCAGATAGCCCTCGTGTAGCTTTGCGCGAAATTCAAAAACAATTGTAAGATTACATCGACTAATTTTTTCTCTATAAAGTAATGCTGGTATCTTTGAAGAAGCCGCATATAACAAAACCGACTGCCCAATGAAATTTTATGTACATTCTCTCATAGCCGGTTCTTATATAGCCAACTCATCATAAGCATTTTCGAATTCTTAGCGATTCGAGCTGTATTAACTAAAATTTTACGAAAGTTCTTTTTTCTCTGTCTCCGTCTTTTATGAGTACAATTTTATTCTAGAAAAATGTGATCTCGATTGCGGCCCAAATGGAAGATGTCAAGATAGACAATGCGTATGTTTAGAGGGTTGGAGTGGAACAAAGTGCATGGAGAAATTATGTGACCTTCGATGTGCTGAACACGGACAATGTAAAAACGGAACTTGTCTTTGTATTCAAGGATGGAATGGCCGTCATTGCACTTTGGGTAAGGTTTTATGATTTGTTATACCGCATTTTTTTTTTTCACTACGTAGGCTTTAAGTTTTTCTGTAAACATCTGGGTTTGTTTTATTTAAAATAATCCAATATCTATATACCAGCGTTATCTATATAAAAAAATTAAGGAATCACTAAGCAGAATGCCATTATTCTATGATTCTCTGATTAGTTATCGTTAATTAAAAGCACTTTTAAATTAGAGTAAATACGTAAACAGATAAAACTTCTTATTTGAAGTATTGCACCACGGTTACAATTAGAAATATAATTTAGGTGTAAAAAAATGGATAGTTAAGCATTTTAAATTAATTTATCGTAAGCTAAATTTAATCATTATATGTCAGATAGTAAAAAAATCAAACAGAGGAACGTATATGTTCAAAGTTCTTGGAATTCAGATTGCAATTAAACAAGAAGATTCTTCATGCAAGTCGTTTTGAGGGAAACTTTCAACATTGAACAAAACTTATCTGTTGCTAAGGAAGGAACCTCATAACTATACTTTAAGTCTCGTACGAAAACGAGAGAACATGGTTTGTTAGCTGCAGATACAGGCATCTCATGTTCGTTTAATTAAAGTCGGGGTAAATCACAAGGTAGTTTTAAAGCATTCAGTACACACTAATGACCGACTGATTTTCACAGCCCAAAGGATAAAATTAAATAGGACTTTAAATGATCTACGACTTTAAAATATACTTATTATATGATTTTCTACAAAAATGTGCACCGCTTGATTCGTGTTTTTTGTGTGGAATTAAATCCTCCTACTCTGCTGCGACCGTTCTTAATGTGTAATTTTGTTGCATACGTAATATAAAGAATTTTGTAGAATTTTGAGATTTTATAGGAAAGGTTCTAGGCACTTGTTGTATGCTATAACGTTACAAATTTAAAATATATTCGCTATATCATTTTCAAGAAATCGGTAATAATGTTCATTGTTCGAAACGAGATGCTTACAAAAAAATGTATTTCATAGAATATTAATATCTTTCGAATATTTATAGAGGGTTGTCCAAAAAGCTGTAACAGTCATGGAGAATGTTTAATGATTGGTGGTGAATGGCAGTGTCGTTGTGAATACGACTGGGACGGAGTGGACTGCAATGTCCCATTAGAAAGAGTCTGTGACGATCGCAAGGACAACGACAATGGTAAAAGAAAAATATATTTCTCAGAAACTCTCTCAAAAATGTACAATTTATGGTTGTACATTTAACCAAATTAGTCCACACTTATATCATTATGACTTAACTGAGCTTAACTTAGAATTATTAGGTAATCTTCATGATGTATGTTTTACAGGCCGAGGAAATCAATATAATTTTAAAGGAACAAAACATCTTGAGTGGAATTTTTCTTTAAAACCCTTTGTACGTTTAAAAAAATGAAAAAAAACCTCTAATTTAATTATATAATTATAGAATAGAGGAAATAAAATAGTGAATATTCCGAGAATTATTAATAAAAACGAATTAAAGCTATTATATCTAAATGTGGATCTACTCACTATGATATTGTGTATGTCATGTTAAATAGCAGGTATATGTCATGTCATAAGTAGTTACAGCATAAGTCGTTCATTATTTTTTCAAAATGATATAATGCTATTACAAGTATTATTTTACTTGATTAAATATTTTCAAGTTAATCTGATGCTTGGGGTCCATTTCTTAAGTTTTTGCTATAATTTTTTAGCAAAATTCGCTTTATATCAGCGTATTAGTTGACCTTGTGATAGTTCTAATCCAAAATTTATACTTTATGAAGATTAGTTATTCCAATTATTTAATTAAATCTTTTCTCCAATATGACTTTTCCCTAGTATTTTCTAAATGATATTATTCTCCCCTAAGGAAAAGCACTATAAGGAAATAATACATTTAGACAAATTAAATGAAACATGATATTATATCTTTATTTGAGCTTTTCATACTAATTATCTGCAGATTATTATTCATCCAGTCCGAAAGCACCATTCCTCGTATAGAAGAAAGGAAACTTTTAATCGATTTTGTCTTTCTGTGAAACAAATTCGTAAAAGAAAAACAAACAAACAAAAAAAAAAACAATTGTACTTTGTTCAAAATTGGTGAAGTACCGAGCTGGGATGATTAGATTAGAGCGTTTCACGCTAATTAATGAGGTTTTACTTCTTGAACTCTCTTATCAATTTTACAAGCGATATTTTAGCTTGAAGATAAGTTATCTAGTGTAAAGAAAGTTGTTATTTTTTCCCACACATGATCTTTATTTAGAGTTAATGTAAATTTGGATTATTTTATATCAGTGGTAACAAATAAGTCATGATTGCATCTGACAGTTAAATAAGAATATAAAGATGAGCTATGTAGAACGATACAACGAATTTCCTGTTTTCTTTTCATTATCCTTTTCATATTACATCTTATATTTTAATTACTAGTTGTTTTTCATTTAGAAAAAAATATATAATTTCCTGAAATACTTGCTACATTCAAATGCATTCATCAAATTTTGAAACGGAGAACTTTTGAGCTTTCTGAATTTTAAGGAAATAGTTCTGTTTCTATATACAACATAGTTATAATATGTATCTGTTATTTTCATTAATTACGTAAAATAGCACTGTTAGAGGTTTTATCAATATCACGCAATGTGGACTGATACTCGCATTGAAAGTGACCAGGGCTTATCGCATTTACAATAACAACTCAATCTTCGCCCAAACTTATTGTGAAATTCATCATATGAAAAAACCTAGAAATTATGATGCAGTAATATTTTCGTGAATTATTGTAGTACATTCTAAGTCCAATTATGTTTCCAAAACCGACAGACGGACTCGTAGATTGTGCTGACAGTGAGTGCTGCAGGAGTGAAGATTGCAAGGACAACCCTCTTTGTTTTTCTGCTACAGACCCATTAGATATTCTTCTCAGAAAGCAGCCTCCTGCTGTGACGTCTTCTTTTTTCCAAAGGATGCAGTTTTTGATTGAAGAGGATTCAGTTCAGAGCTATGCTCGAGAAGACGCTTTTAATGACAGGTATAACGTTTACACTGAAAGTATTGTGGAATTATTCGAATTTTCTATTTTTATTATAGAAATAAATATTAGAAAGTATATATCAATTCCGAGAAACGTGAAAGGTGTATCTATATTGACATAAACAAGACGGAAAATACGAAAATAAACTACTTTTTAATGCTTGTTGTTAATATGTTTGCAAGTTACTTTGCTTCAGGTCACACTTTGTTGATGTTACAACTATAATTATTGATATAATCTATTTAGAACGTATGGTAAGTACGGTAAGTTTATTTTTTGCACCAACTCAAAATGCTTATGAAAATTCACTTCAGATATATTTCAGACACGTAAAAGTTTAAAAGTGAAAACATTTTGTGAAAGCTGTGTAAAGTAAAATAAGTAATTTAAAATATTATGATCCTAAAAATGTTTGAAAACTGGTGTTAATTACTGAAAAATTTAATTGTACAGAGAATGAGTAAAATGTAAGCCCTCAATGTTTGCATAACAATGCTTTCAGATTTCTAATAATAACTATGAAGTATAACATTTATTTTCTATTATTGACAATCATGTTAACCAAACGTTATATCCAAAAACTAAAATTAAAAAATGCATGCTAAGCCTTCCTTGAAATAAAGATGTCCCAACACCTTGTGCATAATAAATAAATACTTACAGAATAACTGTCTCAACTGTCTAATTTCGATTAACTCTTCTTCCTTCTACACCTTCAGCATGTTCTGGAATCACTTTAACGCAAGGTATGTACATCTTTCTGTACCCTTTTTTTTTCTTGACTGGAACTTATGAAATTATCCAAATATGTGGAATGTTTTAAACTAATTTTAATCAAATAATATCATACTTTGTGATGAATTATGAAAGCTTTTGCGCTTTTAAATAATCCATAAAAAACATTGCTGTATGTAATTTTCGAGTCCTCATTATATGAAGTATAGAAGCTAATGAAAGTGCATAATATCTTATTACTTTGACAGCTAATACCATTTCGTTGAAAACAAATGAGATTTTATGTGATCATATTTCCATACATTTTAAAATTGCTTAGATCATTCGTTCTTTTAAAGAGTATTTTGCAGTCAACTAAAGTTAATTTTCATACACCTTAAAATATATAACACTATTAGGATATGAAGCTAAATCACATTTTGCAAGTTATTTTAGTCATTTTCCATCTAAGTTGTTTCTTGCCTTTTCCTAGTCGTGCTTCCGTAATCCGAGGGCAAGTAGTAAGTTCATCTGGCAGTGGCTTGAGGGGAATCCGAGTTGGAATATCGACAGATCCACTAATTGGTTTCACTGTTACTAGAGAAACGGGCTGGTAAGCGTAATTACTCCTTATGTTATAATTTTACAATAAAAACAAGAACTATTCATTTAAACCAAACACCATTATTAGAGTAAAGCACTCTTGGTTAAAAAATTATCATAAGAGGTAGCAGGAGTTTCGGAACGAAACCGTGTATACTCAGTACCATTTTTACTTTCAATGTTACTTGTAGAGTTTTTTTACTAATAGTTTTCAATTGAGCCTCTAGTAGACCTTGTGGCAATAAGCGACACACCTATAACATGCACATATATATATATATTAAATAAAGAACAACCAATCTATCGCTTATTCAAGGTCATCAAGTTAGACTTCGTACTAAACTAATCTAGCCATCTATTAAATACTGCTTTTTTCAAACGCTGTTGTATAAAACAGTTACACTCTATGACGAGTTTAACCTATCCTTTGTTATAGGTTTGACCTCATGGTAAATGGGGGTGGAGCTGTTACACTGCAGTTTCAACGTGAACCTTTCAAGCCACATGAACGTATTGTTGTTGTTCCATGGAACGAAATCGTTGTCATGAATAAAGTAACCATGACAATTCGTGAAGAAAATGCTGTCGACTACAAGTCACCTTTATGTTTGGATCATAACTACGACACCATGAAGCCCGTTGTACTAGCGACATGGAAACACGGTTTTCAAGGTGGATGTCCTGAGAAGAGTTCCATTTTGGCAGAATCTCAGGTTGTTACAAAAATACTCATATTAAAACACGTTTGAAATATATAGTTTACATGTTAAGTTTCCAAAAAGCTCAATTAGTAAAATAATGTAGTCCAGATTTGGTTTTATTTCCATGCATAATTATGAATATATTGCAAATATGGTGTGATATATTTCTGTACGACTCCTAAACTAATGAGGTAACGTTTATCTCAGAATAAATAAAATTGTATGTGAGACACATATTAAGGTTTTGAGACATATAGTGATTGTAATATAACATAAGATCTCACTCAGTAAAGCAGAATGAGGTCTGGTTTTAAATACTTTGCTGATAGTCTTAGCTCATTTTCAAAATTTACTACCTAAAGATATCTTGAAAAATAAGTTATTTTTTTATATTTTCTTTGAGTTAGATATGATATATCTCAGACAAAAAACCGTTAACATAATATTTCAGCATTTCTTCTGTTGCCTGATAGGTTGTTCAGGAAAGCCTTTCCATCCCTGGTACAGACCTTCATCTTGTCTACCACAGCAGTAGAATGGGGGGTTATTTATCTACCATTCAGCTCCAACTAACACCTGACGAGATCCCCTCAACATTGCGTCTTATTCATCTTCGAATATCGATTGAAGGGATTTTGTTTGAGAAACAATTCGAGGCTGACCCCGGGATTAAATTTACATATGCTTGGAACAGAAGAAATGTCTATCGACAGAGAGTATACGGCGTAGCAACTGCTACAGGTTAATGCATTATATTAATGACATTGTTAAATATTTCCAATAATAAAGTGCATATATGTTTTGAGAAGAGAAATAACCAAGACGTTGTTTAGAAACGTAGAATAATTTTGATAAAAGAAAATTCAAATCGCTTTTGTTGTTACTCTATCTTTGTAAGATAATCTAAATCAGCAGTAAATACGTTTTGATGTTACTATTAACCTCACGCATACTATGTACTTATAAGCTTAGGTTAGGCTGGCTACTATTATTTGAAGAATAAGCCTATATAACTTTTTTTATTGAATATTGAGATTTAATTTCAACAATAACATTAGAATTATACTCAAAACGCAATAAGTTTAAGTTTATTGAATTCCATTGCAGTTATCATTTTATACAATAACAACTGTATTATTCATCACTGTTTTATTCTAAGAAGTAAGTCGTATTCAGTGTCATATACTTTTGGTTTAAAAAGTTTATTATACTTAATTAGTGTTTACTGTTATAGTTCATATTGGCTATGAATACAGCAACTGTCCACAAATAATTTGGGAAGTGCAGAACACCCAGGTCAGTGGACACGATATGAGTATTTCCGAGATTGGAGGTTGGAATCTAGATATCCATCATCGATATAACTTCCACGAAGGTAAGCTAAGAATCTTGCTTTACAGTAAAAAAGGCTGGATAATATGACAAACGTCTGTACATTGACGTGAAATATCCAATTAATTATTTTGCGTCATAAATTCATTGATCTAATACCGGAAATTAGTGCGTGTGTGAAATGTCTGCCACCTGCAGTGATAGTTAGATGCCAAAATCAATACATGTATGTAATTCTGTAGTTTTCTGACTGAAACTTACATCAGTGTAAAGTTAACGCCTGCCGGTTATTCGTCTTGAGAGAGTTGTGGTGAAGCCCATTATTACCAGAAATTAAAAAAAAATGTATTATTATATATGCCAGCTTGTCCTGCTAAAAGAAAAAAAATGTATATTTATTTATCGCTTCTTCTAAGAAGGAAACACGTTAATGAAAGATGAAGACAGTATTAGTGTTAGGTTCGTTGTGATTTTTTTATTGAGGTTAAAAGGTTATTTTTCGGAAATATTTTTAAACATCTACATAAATATGTAACTAATCTTCGGATCAAAGTAATGTTAAAATCCTTCTCTCTTAAAATATAAAGTTATTCCAGGAAAACTAATAATAACTTGTTAAACGCACGTTTCGGTATTATTTCTTTTCAGTAAAACTTTGATTTTGCATCTAATTAACACTTACTTGCCACCTAACTTGGCAACGTCCTCAGATATCATAATGTCCGAGAGTGCAAAAACATTTGGTACTTGTGAACGTTAAATGTGCAATTTTTCATTCATCTCCAGGTATTCTACAAAAAGGAGACGGTACAAACATTTATTTAAAGAACAAACCCAAAGTTCTACTAAATATTATGGGAGATGGACAACAAAGACTTCTACACTGTCCAGATTGTAATGGTATAGCAAAGAATCAGCGTCTTTTGGCACCTGTAACTGTAACTGGAGCTCCAGATGGAAGTATTTTTGTTGGAGACTTCAATTTAATTCGCAGAATTACACCTAATGGATTGGTTAACACAGTAGTAGAACTCAGGTACGATCTTATTTACAGTGTTTTGCATTAAATACGCCTTTCCTATGTTTTTATTATTTTTATTTTTCTGAAGGCAAAAGCCGAATAATTCATATTTAATCGTCACACAGAAAGGAGTAGAATGTATATATTATAGAAAACTGAATTGAAATCCTCCACATTCAGTACAATTTTGTGTTCATCTTTTTACACTATCCAATGCATTCAGTAAGCAGGATATTTTGCTTAATTGTGTTAAGTGTGGTAAAAAGTATCATTTAAGTTATTCCATAATGAGGTAAAAAACATATATATATATATATATATATCTTTTTTAATACGTTAATTAAGACATCGCTTGCATTTACCTCATTTAATTGGAGCATTATGTTGCTGTCGTACAGTAATATATAAACTGTCGATTTCGTAGTAAAGTCCGGCGTTTCTCCATTTTAGGTTATAGAGCAAGAAAGAAAGATTAGATACTTTACGCCTTAATGGGAAAAGAGGTTCTTTGATTAATTATCGCCTCGATAAGCTCTTGATTACGAACTTAATCACAGTGAATCTACCATGACAGCATAAAAAGAGATCCGACTTTGAAAAAAAATAAAAATAAAAAAGTTTCAGAAGAAGGCCCTAAATTAGAAAGTTAATGTTGTCGTTACACAAGCAGGTTCCTTACAGGAAAAGAAAACTTTCGTACATATAATGTGTTGTTTATATTAGGGGAATGGCTGTGTGCATTCTAGTAGAAGTAACAGCTGTATAGTTTTTTTTATTGTTGTTGTTTTTTGTGTAAGCTAGAATAGACAGAAAATATCGTACTTTCTTCATGCTATTTATAAGAAAGAGTTAAAACATTATTTATCAGTCAAAATGTCAAAAATATCGTAATACCTAAACTGCTCAGTATATTCATTTAGTAATAAACGTCGTTCGCATTTTTGAAGTTGGATAAACAAATGAATTCTCACACGTTTAGTACTTCAATATCGTCATGACAACATATGGCTACATACTTCACTGAAATATAAACTGAAAGTATTTTTTTTATGCTAAACAAACAAAGGTGCTAACAAAATCATCTTTTAAATGTCTAAGGGGAAGACTTAATAGAATATGATTTAATTTTTGTTCCTACAGTGACGCACAAGTAGCCTATCGGTATCACTTAGCTGTGGCTCCAGTGGACGGAAAACTGTACATTTCCGATCCAGAAAGACACCAAGTTCTTCGTGCTATAAGTCTCAAAGACATTGAAGATGTTGGTAACAATATAGAAGTTGTAGTTGGCAGTGGCTTAAAGTGTTTGCCGGGAGATAAACTTCTTTGTGGTGATGGAAGATCGGCCAGGGACGCAAAACTATCTTATCCCAAAGGTGCAGTGTATATTTAGTTTTACATGAACTTCAACTGTAATAGTAATTTTACAGTGAGGTTTTTACTTTTATAATCGATGTTTTGTTATGTGTAGAAACAATTACAGTTGCAGCTTTTATAATTTTTATCGTAAGTAACTAATTTTTCATCCTTCCTTACTTATCATTTCATGCTATAGTTGTAATTGAATTACGGTATTACAATTTTAAAATAAAGTAGTGTCATTAGTTTAAATACACTGTATATATTTATCTAATGTTTAAGTGTATCTACTTCTTTCACTAAAATAGACTTATGTATTTATAATTTATTTATTGTTTTTATAATATCGCAAAGGTTTCGTTTGACTTTTCAAAGTACTTGTACTTAAAAGGTCTCATTATTCAACTCCATTCTTTACATGTAATATATAATAAGGTTGTAGTAAATAATGCACAAACACACATGTATATATATGAAATAACATATAAATATGTCACAGATACCTCAGTTATATGTGCAATATATTTATACATTAAATATACAAATAACGAAATCAATAAATCATATTTATAATACGACTTAGATATAATATCAATATACGTACCTTCCGGAAGTCTTGAAGTATGAAGATCCATATGTATCCTAAATTAAAATATATTAAAAACTGAATTATTTTTATCAAAACAGACTTTAAGAATTTTAAGTTTATTAGTAATTTTTAAATTATACCGAAGCTATATAAGCTAATACCTATAACGTCGTACTGGAGTAGGTTGTGGGAAAAAGCAGCCAGTTTATTATCCTTCCCAAATTATATTTAAGTTTTAGGGCTTAGTTTGCTTTGCAAAATAGTTAAAGATTGTTTTTTTTCGCTCGTAATATATACATGTTTTAGCTGAAGAAGGAACAGATATAACTTAACTGTATTATTAAGGTTAGTATATTAATGTTAGATGGGTTAATGAGTGATTTTGAAAACGGGGAAGTGAGCATGTATAAAAGAAGAGCTTAAAATTGGTTGTAATTAAGCACAAAGCTATACAATGGGCTATCTGTGCTCTGCCTACCACGGGTATCGAAACCCGGTTTCTAGCGTTGTAAGTCCGCAGGCATGCCGCTGTGCCAATGGGTGGCAGAGCTTAAAGAAATGTATTGAGTGCAACGTTGTTGATATTATCGTTATTCAGCTGAGCGTGCGTCGAATAACATGATGGAATATAACAAATATTAGGGTTGGTAAAATTATTCAATCTATCTACTACACTTAATAAGTTGTACAGAAGCTTTTTAAGGGGACAATTAGATAGCTATTTATAAAAAGAAACAACAATAAACTTTTTTGTAAACCCATTGTTTATATATTTGTGACTTCAAATT